CCTGGAAATGTTTGGATGTAGCCATTGAGACTTCCAAAAGTTATTACAAATTTTTTCATACTGTAGAAATGGAATGAACTTGAATGCTTTTAATTTGCTTGTACATGCTTCCAACAGATCTTTCAAAGACCAAGTTAAATAGGTTAACTATGTTAACAGAAGATTTCAAATGTAATGTTGGAGTCTTTTTTTTTCCAATTCCTTTTCCAAACCTGGTAAGAAATATTAGCCTGTTGGAGATAATTTTTTTAAAGGGGAGGAACAGTAAAACAGAAAAGGAACAGTGTTATAAAATTATGCATGTTAAGGAGAAACAAATAGGTATTCCCCCTCATATTTCATAATCTGATATTACAAATAACCTAAACTGGTGTTACTCATATTCCTATTTTGAATTTTAACCATCATAGTCTGCAGTCAGTTGATATGCTGGGGATTAAGGAAACAAGTCTAGCACATTATGAAGATTGTAATAATAAACAGTAGAAAATTCACAACAACAAAATATGCTTTCTCAGAAGATGCCTGGAAAAAATGGAATTCACTACAATACTTACTAATGGCTGACAGTATGAAAATGTTTTAAAGTGGTAATTATACAAGTTCCTAGATAATAGTTCTAGCAATATTTAGTTATATATTACCTCCAGTTTCATAGGCAATATGCCCCTTACACCAGGAGCAGCTGAAGCAAATCATAACAATCACTGGCTTTCTTCTCCTATGGCTCTTATATTTGGATATTGACTAAACATGCTTCCTTTGCAAAGTAAAATAAGCATGTGTACAATATTTACACCCTGTAATACAACATTACACCCTTTCCCTTTAAATCCAGTAGGCAAAGAATGCCCTTTGGGTTGTGGATAAGATGTATGGGTGAATTAAGTTTGCCTTAAAAAGGCAACTTTAGTCATAAGCATTAAGAGAAAAACAAATCTACTGTTTGGAAAGTCTGATGAACATATTCAGAATCGCAGGCAACGCGCAATCCATCCCATCCGCGGAGCATTAGGTGAAAGACCTCGTTCGAAATCTTCTGACTTAGTACGAGAAGGAAGGGAAAGGGGCGTAAGACCGCTTTGCTTTCGTTTAGGGTGCCCGCCGTTGAAGCCAATTCAATTGGAAAACCCGCAGGGCCTCCGTTCTCTTGCCCTAATCGGGAGGCGTCGGAGGCAGGGGGCTGCCAAATATGCAAGACTATTTGCAAAATAACCGAGAAGAATTAAAGAGTCATCTTGCCTATCTCTAATTCCGCATTACAATGGCCATACACCTCGTGAACGCTTAAACTAGTAGCTAGGAGTAGTAGTAATTTAATAATTAAAGTAAAAAGGTTAAAATACTTGCCGGCGAATCAAAAGGCATTAAAGTCCCACAGCTGGGAATCGATCCTCCTTAGAGGTCGGGCTCACTCACTTTCACTCTTGTTTACTGCGTGGTCTGTTTTTATTTTTCGGATCACGCAGATTTCCCTTTCGGTTTCGTTTTTATGTTTCTCCGCAGTCGGGTGCTTTCCTATCAGTGGGTGAGGCCGGTGAGTCTGTTGTCCCGTGGCTGCTTTCGTGCATCTCCCCACTGAATCCAGTCATCTTTCAGAAACACTCTGACATTTTGTTGTTTACACGCTTTTTAAATATTTACCTCACAGTGTAGGCACGCCTCTGTAAGACTTACAGAATTATAGAATACTCTAATACAGAGTATTAGAAGACTTGTGGACTTCAACTCCCAGAATTCTCCAGCCAGTATAGCTGGCTGGAGAATTCTGGGAGTTGAAGTCCACATTACTTCAAGTTGCCAAGTTTTAAGACCTCTGCTCTAACCATTAGAGGGCGAAAGCTAGGTGACAAAGCAGAAATGTCCGGTTGTTTTAGGCGCTTTTGTTTCATCCTTCCTGGCTTTTGCAAAACACAGAAGAGCCAACAACTCCAAATTTCAGAGCTGGTCTGTTAATAAGCGTTTCTGTAAATACAGAGAGGCAGGCCTGAGGAAAGGGGGGTGACAACCGAGGACATTGTTCTGGGGCCCATGGAGCTCAAAGGGGGCCCACGAAGGGGAAACGGAGGATTTACTTAACAACCATGTGATTCACTTAATAACTGCAGATATTGACAGAGGTTGAAACAGTGACTTCATGGATTTTTGGCAAAGCAGTGATACAACACCCCCCCCCCCCCGCAGCACATGCCCCATCCCCCACAGCATGCAGGGGCCACATGGGGGGGGTGTCACATGCGCATGCGTGTGTGTGTGTGCATGCGCAAGGGCGTGTGCACATTGCATTTTGGGGACCCATATTAGTCTTGTTCCAGCACTTAATCCTCTCGGCGGCCCTGCAGAAGACAGCAGAAGTCATTTGTTGTCAGGGGGAGGTCTCGGCCAATGCTTCTCCACCTCAGTGATTTTAAGACGTGTGAGCTTCAACTCCCAATATTCCTCAGTCCGTATGAAGTTGAAGTTCACGCAAAAGTTGTTGAAATTGAAAAACACAGTCTTTTTAAAATGGCCCTGCTAACTAAGGCACTCCAGTATTCCTGGGCTGAGGACACTTTCCAGGAGAGGTGGTAGAGATTGGGATGCGTTGCGCAATCGCTCCTAACACATTGCACTTCTTAAAAGATTTCCTCTTAGAAGCAGAACAAGCACCTGTCTCCAAACACCAATAGTAAGAGAGCAGAGACCTTTATGAAATAGTGTGGCTTCGGGCACATCTACAAAAATGTAATGCAAGGCATAAGGTACATTGTTTCTAGGCAGTTAGTATTATAACTCTTGTAATTGTAGGCTTCCTTCCTATTTTCTGTTTTTGTAGGTTAGGATTTTGTTGCTTGGCTTCTTATCAGGGTTTTTCTTAAGTTGAACTAACAAGATTTTTTTAATGCTTTCATCGGTGAATATTTCATTGCTATCTTATTGTTCAGGATCCTTTCACATAAGATCCGAAAAAACTTACTAAAATCTAAAAGTGATCCATTCTTGCAGCCTAATGTATATATACAGCTAGTCCTCATTTACAACTCGATCTGGCAATTCCTTGGCTAAGTGACACGATCATAGAATGAAATATCACGTGATTATGATGATCATAGGACACCAGTTCCAACTGCCGCTGTTAAGCATGTCACTGGACTACAACTTGTATTTTTCTGCTGGCTTCCCCACTGACTTCGCTTTTCCAAAGCCTGCTGTGAAGATGGCAAATGGTGATCATGTGACCATGGGGAGAACTTTGACAACTGGTCGTAAATCTTTTTCAGCACTGTGCGCAACTATGAACAGCCTCTGAATAAGTCGATAAGCAAGGATTCCTTTCTTGTTACAGGTATAATGTCTACCCAGCATAGAAGCACCTGCTAAGATGAAATTTTGGTGTTCTTTATACTTTTATATCTGAAAATGAGCAAGTTCACTTTCCTGTTGTGTGTGGGAATAGAAATGGAAATGGGATTCATTTAATTTTAATTTTCCCTCCTATCTTAACTAAAAAAATCTGAAAAGCATCCTGTTCAGACAAAAATACTTCAATTTTTACTGATATTTCAAATTTTTGTATTTTAAAACTATTCTAGTCTATAGGCATCTGTTGAGCCACTCCAGCAGCACATAAGTGATGAAATGTTTCAAATATCGACTATCTTAACTGCTCCTCCTCATTCAAGTCTCTTTTATTGATTATTTTTTCATCTTTTTTTATAGTAACGTAGAAATATATATTTTTTTTAAAAGAGAAAGAAAAAAATCACTAATGCTCCAATGGGAAGAGAGGAGGAATTCAAGTGAAAATTAACAAAAAGTTAATGATCCTAGCAAGGATCAATAGGAAGGAATGGGGCTAACTAATAGTCATATTATTTTCATTGAAAATTCCAAAATCCATTGTTGAACTTAATTGTGCATGAACACTCTAGGACAGACTTTGGGGATAGGGGTGGGGCAGTGCCATGTGACAGGATATGGAGGTGGGTGGCCCTTCACCACAGTCCCATTTTCCCATGTAGCTCCTTAGAAAAATTAATAACCTGCCCCTACTTTAGGAGGATCTTGGCTATTCAGAAGCCTTTGGTTGGCTATTAGAAGTTTAATCAAATGCTGACTGGAATTTCCATTTATTTCTAATTCTAGGTAATTCTGCAAAAGCAATGCCTTAACATGTTCATTGGTGATAACAATTATGTTTGGAAGATTTAGCAGTAAAAAGAAAATCAAAGCACCAAATAACATAGTGCTTGGATACCACTGAACATGATACCAACCACAGCATAGAACAACGCAAGAAAGTAGTGCAAGATTGGACGATCTGGAGAGATCTGGCCCATAGAATCGCCAAGGGTCGGACTTGACTGAATGGATAACATTATCATCAGCATTGCCTTAGCAAGTGACAAAAAATAAGAGCATGGTTTAAAAGCAACTATATGTGCTAAAACATAAGTTTTCATGGATGGGATTTTGGTTCACTGGCTCCATCAGCTGGCAGGTACACATAATTATTGATACTTGGAAATTACAGCAGATCAGCAAAAACTGGTGCCGTCCAATACAAAATTGGTCACATGGCAGCTATTTGTAGATTTGACATTATTAAGCTGGAGTTCATTGGAAATGGAAAATAGCTAATTATAAGGATTGTCCAAGACATTTATATACCGCAATGTATATTTTGCCTCTTCATAAGAAACAGGGAGTTAATGACAGCAGTTCCAAATTGGAAAAGTGACCTTACTTCTTCTAATGCATTCTTAAGACAAACCCCAAAGAGAAACCATTCAAGTTTATAGATTTTTTCCCTCTTAGATTCCTTATGGAATGAAAATTTTATATTTAATATGATTCAGCACTGAGAATCCCAATTCCCATCTCATTTTTTCCTAGATCATTTTCTTGAAATGTTATATTTAGAAATGAAATGATTCAACTTGCTTCCCTGGGCAATTGGCTAACAATAAAAATAAATAAATAAGTCAGATCATATTTTAGTTTTCTTTATATTATTCACAGCCACCTTCCTCCCAGATGACAGCTAGTTTGTATTCAATATTTCAATCTTATGAAAGTGCAACTGCTCTGCATGCAACATCTTCCCAATATGATGTCTAAAGAGGTAAAGCAGTATGCTCAGATGATATCACTGCTGGGTCGTCTGAAACAGTACAAAAGAAATGGCATCTCGTGTTACGCATGAAAAGAAATCCTCTCAGTTGTGTTTGGAAGATCTTGCACTGAAGGTCTGTCACTTTTACATCTCTTAGGAAAAAATTTGTTTTCACTCTGGCAAAGCAGGTTTCTTGGTGGCATTTTTGGCCTGCTTTGTAGTAGAGGGCTGGATGTTTCATCCTCTTCAGAATGTTTCACTAAAATTGTTTTGTTGGACCCTTTTGTAGTCAGTAAAGTAGCCAGGCGTGGTCTGCACAAATAAGCAAAACGAAGTAATTTTAAAGAGCAATACTTTAAAATTATTTTGCTAGTTACACAGTATATATGGTTCATAACATGCTTGTTGTCCAGGCTGCCCACAACAACAGAGACCATGTTTTTTTTTAAAGAATCAGAGTTCAGGATGTAAAACATGGATGACTAGAAGCTGCTTATTTTGAAAAAGTACAAAATCTTATCTATAAGGCTAAATAGTTAGAAGTATATTTTTTCTTCCTGACTTGCTGTGGCCATATTCTTTATTCAGTGAATTCAGAATACTTATTTATATTATTTTCAAAATAATTTAATTGAAACTTGCTTCAGTGAAATGTTTTCTGATCTGGAATTGTACAGTTTTGCTAAATTTTCTGTTTGAATCTATTTTTACCCATTGTTACACAAACTTGCTTTTCTCATTAAAAACAGGAATCACAAAACAATTTTGGATGGAAGCATTAAAAGTCAGGATACTACTACATTTTACTTACCGGTGTCGGCCCAAGGATTTTAGATGTCGTTCACTCCTCAAATATTTTTCAGTGGGTTGACTGTACTTTTCCTCAGACATCAAAGGAAGGGAGAGCAGTAAATCTTGATTAATGGAAGACCTGTTCAGTTTAAGACCACCTTCACAGTTCCCTCCACCAATTTTGTTAGTTTTAGCATTCCTTGCTGGTGACAATTCCTTTACTTTCTCTTTGCTTCCAGGTAAAATACTTTTTTGTGCCTCGAGGAAACCTGTGATGAAAAACGAATGTTGGTACTTACCTGAACGTCGATTCCAATGATGGGGGCGGGAGGTGCTAGTAAATTTGAGACAATCTTTCCAAAGATCACTTTAACCTAAAATTCAACAATTCAGTCCTAACCCCTTTTACATGAATTTTTTTCTGTGATATATTAATAAATTCACATTAACCTATTCTACAGAAGAAAAATTATCTTCCACCCTGCAGTATCCTTCTTTCAGATCTTGTAGTCGTGTGAGTGTATATCTTCTTATACTCAATTAGGAAAAAATCTATTTCAAATTGGCCTTTATGTCATAGTTGATTAATCTATCAAAATATTCTTCATCAATTAAAAAGAAATCCTTACGTTAAAGTTAGTGTTCCTTTTCCTAAGAAAGATAATGAATCGACTAAAATATTTTATGTAACAAGTTGCTCATTGAGACTTGAAAGACTGTAAGGTCCAGCCCTTTTTAATATACAAGTAACTAGCCAATATATTTTAGAAATTTTGATGAGAATATAAAACCCCTTGTAATTGATAAAGATTTAATTTCCAATATGAGAAATAACCTTTGATTCCTGGAGATGTCTTCTCTCTGCAACTATTGGTCTTTCCAGTTTGATACTTTTCTAATCTCCAGACTACAGGTTTGTTATATGGAGCATTTAAATGGATTTCTTGAGCTAGGGCAATATTTTGTAGTTCTTTTTCTTCCAACTGTAGCGTGACACAGCCCCCTTCAGAGTGATTTTCTTCTTCTGGCTGAGACAGATATAAAGAGCTGAAACACAAAGTAAAATTAAGCATCTCAAAACTCAAAAGAAAATAACATGCAAAATGAACCAATTTTTAGATGCTATACAAAAAAGATACACTTCAAAAATGTTTCGGCTTCTGAAATATACAGTACAGTCAACTCAACCATTTTGTGAAATAGTACTTATGCTTACATTTATGCTATATTTGGATATGAAAATTTTGATGTTGAAAAATTTTGACTTCTGATCTTCCAGGAATTCTTGGCAAATGTTTCTTTTCTATTTTTTATAAGCAAATTTTCCATAATTCACTTTAAATAAGTGGATTCTTAAAGTATAGATAAACACTAAAATGACTTCATAGCATTCAGTATTTTTCAGGTTAGAATTAGAAAACGTATTATCGTGGCAGAATCATAAAATATATTAAAATGCTGAATAAATTAAAATCTAGATATTACCACTTGGGCTACAATCCATTTAAAATATGAAATTATGACTTCTGAATAACCTACTGGTTTTATCTGAACTAATAAAATATATTTCTAAAATAAGAAGTGTTCTCTCTCTCTAGATTATATGTAAGCGTCATGCAAGCTTTCTCCCAGAAGAGAGCATTTCAACCTTCAATATGAAAAAGAAGAAATTAGAACAATGTTTTACCCTTGGCAGATTTTCTTTAATAATTACTTATTTAAAAAATATTGCTCAGTTAATTAGAGTGAATTTTTTGATTAAAATAAATAAATCCACTAAATAGTACTGGCATCGAAACATGCAATGTAAAATTTATTGTAAGAGAGAATGATATTAACTAAAATAAAGACTAAAGAAAATAATTTTATAAAGCACATGTCCACTCTTATATACCTGACTGATCCATATTAAATTAAATTAAATTCTGTGAGATTTTTCCCAAGGTTTAATAGGATTTCAGAAATCGCTAATAACAAATACAGTATATTTTCCTACCTTGGGTGACTGTCCATTTGTATGAGTGATGCTACAAATAAGATACAAAGATGGCATATGATATAATTAAAAATAATGGTCCTTATTTACTACATGGATTTCAATCCTTTCTTATGTTAAGAATGAAAATCATTATTCTCTTCCACATTAGAGAACCACATTAATATTTTCAATTACTAATGTAGTTTTTGTACAAGAAAATAATTCTATTTTTGTTTGTTTATTTGGACACTTCAAATTATGCAGATGGGATGGCCTCTTATTTTAAATAATCAACTTTTAACACAAAATGTTAGCTGCTATCATTAAAAAAAGCAATTTGATTTTAGTAATGATTTATAACAAAACGAAATTGGACGGCCTAAATAGTTTCTTCCAACTATGATTATATAAAAATATAGAATTTATGAAAAAACAACTCATAAAAATTGTGAACATCAAAATTATTGCTGTGATATTTTAGATTATTGTTGAAGAACTCAAGCAATTAAGCACATTTGTTTTTGAGGTCTTGTATATTTAACTATTCTACAATGATATAAGTAAGTAATATTCAAGAAAGGATAACCTTTTATTTTTGTATGGTGTAACTCCAACCCTAACGATTGCCAGATATTAACAACCGGCAATGGTTTTGCTGTTAAGCCTCTTATATTTGATGAAATAAGATGAAATTCAAAACCCTATCTAGTCTTAAACTCTACACTAGGAGTTGGACAAGTTGTAACTTAGCACACTTTATTGGATAGTTGTCTAGATCAGGGGTGTCAAACTTGATTTCATTGAAGGCTGCATAAGGTTTGTGTTTGACCTTGGAGGGCCAAGGGGGGAGCGTATGGCGTGGCCATGTTGGCATGGCCATGGTGGGCATGACACAGAACTCATATTGGGGACACCTATGGTGGCCAAGTGCTAAGGCAGGACTTCCCTGAGACCCTCATTCTCATTATTCTCATTCTCACTGAGCCAAGGTGGCGCAGTGGTTAAAAGCAGCACTGCAGGCTACTGCTAGATCAGCAGGTCAGCGGTT